GCGTTTCAAAATGTGTAAAATCGTTTTCTCTACAATATGTGATCATAACGAAGTCGAAAAAGCAGTGGGCCAAATGCAGTGGAAAAGCGGGCCCTCCTTTTTAGCAGAGGTAGAGAACCATGAGTACTACTACCAAAAAAAACTTCATTGGAATTGATTGAGCCATAAAAAGTTATTGGAAAAATAGACGCCGTGACAGAATCAGAAAATGGAATTCTTTTTGGACGTTTAGAGACTTTTGCATTTTTCTTCCGGTTGCGCAGTGGTACTAAAATATGTTCTAGCTGAAGTTGTTCGAATCAAAATGTCCAAATACCCTTTGTGACGGAATTTCATCCTTTTCTGTATAGTTTTATTGCAGAAGCTTAAACTCAAAGGCTAAGATATTCAGAAAAAGATATTTTTAGTAGTAATATATAGACTTACATGTGCTCTTTTTGATGCAATTTAAAATAAAGTTAACAAACTTGTTTAACTCATCGAAAAGTGATTATAAAAACTGGTTTTCCAGAAAACCTTTTTGACTCTGAAACCTGTTCGGATCGTCGCAACTATCGATTAGCGTAGTTATGAATTCTTTTCAAGAAAATCTCTAGATGAAGAAATTGAAATTATAAACTTTTAAAATTAAAATTTTTACCTTTAAATTTTAATTTTTATAAATTTTAAAGTTGATTTTCTTGATCAACGTGAAAAGCCGCATCTAATGATGTGACTCTCGATTTAATTAGGTCGAAAATGTTTTTTGAACCTTTTGATTTGAGGGGGGGGGGCACCGTTAGCTGGCCACGCCGTTCTGGAAAAAATCTAAGAAAAACAAATTTTATATGTTCCAAAGGGGTCCTAGAACTAAAAAATTTTCGATCGAAAAAACTATTTATTATTATTCAGAATAAAACTATCTGTTTTATTCAGAATTTCATTCTGATTCTAACCACGTAGTTATTTCTTCCATCATAGCTTTGATGGACGAAAAACTCTCTTTATATACACTTTCCTCGTTTCGGACTTTTTTTGGACAGATAACTTATCGCTTTAAAAACTTGTACGTAGGTAGAGACGAAAGAGAGAGGGAGTATAGCAGGGCAAGTTTCGTAGAGTGTCTCTTTCAAAGATTCGGATTTTTAGTAAATAAATATTGGTTGGCAATTGGAAAATTCAAAGCTTTCTTTTTCTGTTTCTATCTGCAGGTGTGATGATCTGGTCAATTGATATGGGTCTTGCTAGTGTTAGTGATAATAAAAAAGTTTTAACTAGTGTTGGATCAGTACATTATGTTGCAATCGAAGTTATTTATAATCAGATTGATAAAACTAAATTTACATTTCAAATCAATGGTAACGCCGATGCACGTTCTGATTATCGAATTTTTACACTAAGTAAAATTGAACAGACTGGATCTTCTTCATCTGCAAGTCGCGTAAAACGTGGTAGTGGTCGTAAACAATGTTCCACGGGTACAACTGCAATGTATCATGTAGGAAACTTGGTACTTGGTACAGTTTTACAAGAAGTTTATTCTCGATTAGTACATAATAATGCAAATCATGAAACACGATCAATTACACCAAATGATATAAACAATCCAATTGAGGTGAGTAAGAGCTGTGCAGCAGTGGAAATTTTTCTTGATTTTTTTGAGCTAAATAGAAAATGATTCTTTGGTTTCACAAGTGACAACAAATAATCCAAATTTCCTAAAAACGTTTTTTCGACGAAAAGAATTAAACTACACCTGCATTTGATCAAGCTTTTAAGCACTGCTCCCAAATTCATTCAAAAAGCGTACTGTTGGTTTTTTGCGAAATGTTGGCCGGCGAAAGACGCGGATTTTTTGTTGTTCGCCAGAAAGAGAACAAATCGTCATTTTTAGATCAATTGTGTGTCTGTTCAGTTAGGGTTGCCATTCTCTACCATGTAGAATATATTTTTTTAAATGCTTTCGTTTTCGACTAGGAAAGTATTGTACGTCCAATTCGTGGTGGTCTCTTTAATCAAGTTCGTACTGAACGTGTTGAATTTGTTCATGCACGTATTCGTCCTCAGCATTATAGACCAAATAACCGTGTTAATTTTGGTGGAGGTAACACAAGTACAGAGTATATGAGACAACATATGAATGCTCTGCCCGGCGATGAGCGTGGCCACATTGTTGCCAGTGTCTTCAGTGGTCCACCACAACTATACAATATGTTTCCACAACACAATAGTATGAATCGTAATTATCATGCATCACATTTGCTTGTTGATTGGCGGGAAACCGAAAATCGAATGCAACGACATTTAGCTAACGGTGGTGGCGATATTGTATGGAATGTCGGATTCAGCTACGATAATTTACAAACTGCACGACCAACATCTGTTACATATAGTGCAACATTTTATGATCGGAATGGTAATATTGTAGATAGAATTGAAGGTACATTGAGAAACTGCGTTGGAAATCAAGTACTACCAAGTGGACGTACATGTGGATTGTAGGTAACTCTTTTTTTTTCTTGTTTTTTTTTTCAATTACATAAATAATGATGTTTATTTAAGGCTTCACAAGAAAATTCTTCTTTGGCATCGTAAAGATTTGCCACGCTAGTGTCGAGATAGCATTTTTAAAATTTTGAGTTAAGAATATGTAACTTGAAAAAAGTTTTAAAAGATTGTCTTGGACTGTGGTGTGCTCAGTGGACAGTTTCGGTAATTCACTTTTACTCCGAAGGGCATATCACTCTGTCAAAAACTCACTCTAGAACTTGGAAAAAATAGCAGTAGCTTTGTTCTATAAGAGAGAAAAGTTGCGGTCTGTTATTACTTATTTCTGATTACTGCCAATGAAGACTGATGACTGATCTTTTACCTCCCTTAAACTCTGGGACAGAAGAGAAGGCCAGTCTTGAGCTTATAACGCAAAATTCAGAAATCGATATAGATGACTGCAGCTGCTGCTCTAGTGCGCAAACTCCTTTTCCCAATTTTTTTTTTCTCTGCTCCCTGATGGAAATCTGCGGAATAAATTGATTTTTACGCGTAAGTGCTCAAAAGAGCAGCTAGGCGGTTGAGTTCTTGCGTTAAAAGTTCGCATTTTCTCGCTCTTGCAGAATTGCTCTGCTCGTGTCCCAAGCGTAAGTTTCGTAGGAGTCTAGGAGAGTCCACCTTTAGTAGCATCTAATATTATTTTATACTTTTAAAATTAATTTATAATTCTATTTTCTGGTACATGTGATCTTGTAAAGTGATCTGTGTCTTCTGGTATAAAATACATGGCATTAAATTTTGAGTTTAAGAGCAAAAATGGCGATGATATGAAAAGTCAGTCAGTTTCGGTCTTTCTTTCTCTCAAAAGAGAATAATCATGTAACACAAATAGTGGCAGATTGTACAGCATAAAATTCTGCATCTTTTGACGTTAAAATAATTATCTGAAAGTTGAACTGAGAGGGCAGCAACGCTTTACAAAAGACGTTAAGTTTATTAGTTAAGTGTGCTGTTTACAAAATTAGAATATTTTAATATCTTGAATATTTTGCTAAAATTTCAAAATTAATTTCAAAACAAAATCTCTAATTTTAATTATTATCAAACTAAAAGATACAGGTATTATTAATTTTAAAGGCAAATCAATATAGATAAATTAAATCTGAAGATTCATCGGCATTTCATCAACTTGTGTATTGTAAAATTGTTCGATATCGCGAAGTGCACGACGATCTTCAATAGTAAGAAAATTAATTGCAACACCTTTTCGTCCAAAACGTCCACTATGGCCGATACTACAATGAAATCAGTTCATATTTTTAGATTTTTAGAATAGTTCAGCGAAGGTGCGCAGCTGAACAGTTCAATCTGAAAATATAGCCCTTCAGTTCCAATGCTAATTGATTTATCAAAAACTCAGAGCGTAATGCATTCCTCATATTCTCCGTATAGGTAATCGCTGGCTGAGAGAAAATGAACCATATCCAAATTTCCTTATTCATATGATTTGAAAAAGTGTAATTTACAGCAGCTACGTAAAACGAACATAATTTTCTCACTGCTTCTTTACGTACCGATGGACGTATTTTCACGATTATTTGGTAAATCATAATTGATAACTAATGCAACTTGGTGTACAGCAATACCACGTGCTAGTAAATCTGTTGTTATTAAAACACGCCTACAACCGCTACGAAATTCTCTAAGAGAAGAATCGAATAGATTCTAGGGTACAACTGCTTTTAACACGATGAGAAGCGAGAGTCTATTATTTTAACCGTCTCTTGCAGATTTTAGCGAGAATTATATGCATTTGTTTTTATTTATCGATCAGTTTTATGTATTTAAATAAATAATAACGATGTATAATACACCCGATCAGCAAATGAATTTACAGCTCTATACCCGACAATATATTAGCCATGGAAACTTTTCTTTTTTTCTACTGTATGGTTAACTTACTTGTATGGTTACTTACTTACATCTTTTGTTCAGTATTTGAGGAGAAACAGAACCCAAAAGTTGAAAAAATGTAATTCCGTCACGCGCGTTTAAGCCGACTGGTTGTCCAAGTCCGTAAATTTTTCGTGATTTTTCCTTTTTGTTCTACATTACTCCTCTAATTAACTTATGAATTTGGTAATCAAAAACTCATTTTTTCCAAACTTGCATATTTCAATGCATAAACGGCACGAGAACCACGGTTTATTTAGAAAATCAAAAAAATCAGTTTGAAATACAAATGGTAATCTTTTAAGAACCTACAGTCGAATATGCGACATAGATTTTGGAAAGTTCTATTCTTCTTTGAGCAAATATGAAATATTACGGTTTTTATTCTTTCCTTCAACTACTGTAATAACTGACGTGACTGCATTTGCCACACACAGCCAACATCACAGACGATTATCGAGTAGTGCTGTTCCTAAAATTAATAAATTAATAAAATTATGAGTATGCTGCGCACAAATACAGATGTTGAACTCCAATTTAGTCATGCATACTTTTTTCAGATTTTTGAGTAATGTTCACAGTATTGTTGTGCTGTTGACCTATATCAGTAGCAGTAACGTCAAGTTGTCTATAATAATTTATACACCATTGTATCTTTCTTTTCATTGATATATATAAAATATACGAAGCAATTACCACGACAGTAATACCACCAATAATATAGAAAATTGTTTTATTTTTAATTGACTCTGAAAGAAAGTCTGAAAAAATAACGGCCATAAACACCAAATTAGATGGGCCGATTTAAAACGTATGCATTCTTACCGATAACAACATCCCAAAAAGTAGCAAATGGATTTTGTGTCAAATTTTTTATTGCTTCAATTGGTCTAGCTATAATTACTCGAAGATGGTCAATGATTAAAAACAGACGAGACATTAAAATTCTAGAAGAAAAAGGTGAAATTGTTTGGTTGTCACTATGAGAAGTTTACAACTAATTTATTTATAATTATGTTCAAAATAAAATTTTCCAAATACACCTGGAGTTAGTATTATTATATGAACCTTCAGTATACTTCTTCTTGGATATCTTCTTTTAAAAAACTTTTCTTTTTTTCCACATCTTCTCGCTGTTCTTGGAACTTCCAAGAACGAATGATGAGTATAGCGGTAATGATATGTAGTTATTGTTCATCATTTGACACTCTTGTTCATTGATTATTACTAGCTCTATTTCAGGAGGATACTGACTATGGATAATAGCAATCTTTTAACTATTTTCACGTCTGTTTTACATAGATTATCTCTCACTATCATCACCCAAAGAGAAAGTCGGACAGTCATGATAGTTCAGAAAGTTCTGTAAAAACTCATTTGGCATTATATTGGCGTAGATACCCACCTTTTCATATGTTCAGCTGTGATATTGGCAGCCTTATAACTAAAAAACCAAGCGTATCTTTTTTAACCTCTCTTTCTCTCCCTTACGTTACTCTGTTAAAATAGGTAGCCTTAAACATTTATGTGCAGGCTTTGCTCTTTTATTATTGTGAATTCTTTCTTCTTTTTTTTACTCTTTTACCCACATACAAGCATCAGACAATTTCTTTATCATTATTATTTGTTATATCACTTTCTCTCAAGTGTAAGGTTCAGCTAATGCAAACTTACAGTGGAATTTATTTTTGACTTTATTATACATATTCAGATTCAGTTTAACGAGCTGATTACGAATAACATCTTCCGAGCCTCCAAAAGTCATTTCTTCGTG